AACTCGAACTGTGAAGTCCTTAGGATCGGAAGAAATTGATTCTCAACTTATTTCCTTTTAATAGGTAGAGGGAAATGAGGTAAATGTTGTAAGAATAATTCCTTTTGTTCTACAAGTGGAAACCGACCCTAAAACTTATAGAGAATCTATAGCTTCTCGAGATAGCATCTTTTGGAAAGATGCAATCAAAGACGAAATGGATTCGATAATATGAAATAATACTTGGGAGCTTTTCGATTTACCACCCGAATCCAAACCTATTGGATGTAAATGGGTGTTTAGGAGAAAGAATAACACTAACGGTTCTTTTAATACCTTTAAGGTTGGATTAGTAGCTAAAGGATATCGACAAAAGGAAGGAATCGATTACTTTGACACCTATGCACCGGTAGCTAGAATAACATCGATTAGGATATTATTTGCACTAGCTTCTATATATGACTTGCATGTTCATCAAATGGATGTCAGGACGGTATTCTTAAATGTGGATCTCGATGAGGAGGTTTATATGAAACAATCCGAAGGGTTTGTTCTGCCTAGAAATGAACACAAAGTGTGCAAGTTAGTGAAATTGTTATACGGTTTGAAGTATGCTCTTAAGAAATAGCATGAGAAGTTTGATTTAGATATTATATCATTTGGCTTTAAATATAATAGTGTAGACAAATGTTTATATTCTAAGAAATGTGATGATTATGTTATTTTTATTTGTTTATATGTCGATGACATGTTGATTATGAGTAATCACATGGAAGGGATAAAAGAGACGAAGATGTTTCTATCTTTCACGTTCAAAATGAATGATCTTGGACAAGTGGATACCATTTTGGGTATCAAAGTCTCTAAAACTAGTGGACATTACTATCTAAGTCAATCACATTATATCGAGAATGTGATTAACAAGTTCAAACACTTGAACGTGAAAGAGTATAGTACCCCGATTGATCCAAGTTCAAAACTTGTAAAGAATGATGGAAGAGTCATTGCTCAGTTGGAGTATGCAAGTGCAATAGGGAGTCTTATATATGCAGTTCAATGCACAAGACCGGATGTAGCATTTGCCATTATTAAACTTAGTAGATTTACAAGTAACCCGAGCAATGAGCATTGGAAGGTTATAACTACTAGTAGCATAATTTCGACTGATGCAACTTTCATGCCCGACTATTACATTTTCTACTGTAAATTGAAGTAACATATTCGACATATGTGCATTCCAACATGCCAAAATTCTAGTATAATCCCCATGAGAATTTACTAGTAGCTTGGCTGTTGGAGTGGATCATATTTGACTCATATTGGGACTCTTTGTGACATAGGTTTTACAGTTTTACTGCAATAAAGGACCTTAGATATATGAGTTCTGCTGCTTGTACAGAATTACTACCTGTACAGATAATCTATACAAATAGCTCGACAAATGGATAGATGAATTTGCAAAAGAAAATCACATTTCAACATCCAAACAAATTTCACTTTTAACGTCGTAAGAAGTCATTCTTGAGTATTTTTAGTCAAAAAAATGGTCATCCAAGAGACTTTTCAGTAGAAAAATTTTGTCTTTAAAAGCAAAGTTTCTTATAGTATCAAGGACTTGGTTCATACAACTAACCATTGGATCATTCTAACTAGATTGTTATCAGCAAGAAAGAGGACATAATCATGTTACAAATGTTAAACAATTCAAAGAAATAAAGAAAAGGAAAAAAGGAGGCTAGGGTTTTTATTAATTCTACATAATGCAATTGAATACTAAAGAATGATTTAGACCCTGTTTGGGAGAAATTTTAATCAAGATTTTAATCAAAATTCTAGCCGTTAACTATCAAATCAGCCACTATTTTTGCCTTTCCCTCTCACAAGTGGGGCCCACAGATTGACTGTAACGGCTATAATTTTGATTAAAATCCCACAAAAA